AATTTATATGTATATCCCATCTCAAATGACAATCTATAAAAACACCTAAATATTTTGTTTTAACTACTAACTACTAACTATCCATGTTAATAGTTATCTAATGGACTGAATTTACATTTATATAAATAATTCTGTGACTCACTGGACTTACAAGTAACTCTAGCCTTCCTCTAGTGACTCCGAATAGCAATACGGGACGGATTAGTCAATCTTATTTAATATGTTCTTATAGCTTGGAAAATCCACCTAAAAACCAGCTATTTGATCTATTATTCCTTTCCAATTATTATCAGTTTAACAACTTATTTAAATATCTTGGAATTCCTACGTGTTCTTTCGAATGCATTTCGCGCGTTATTCGAAATATCGATTTTTCTCTTTATACCAGATGCTCGGCCCCGACAGTCTAAGTGAACTTGTTAAAAAAATATTGCTAAATTTCATAAGGCCTTCTCCGAAGGACGGCCTTGTGGCGACGCTAAACCTACTTGAGAGCCTTTATCTTTCGATAATTAGTGTTGACTGAAATATTTAACTGTCTGAGTTGGCCCATCCGTCCCGGAAACTAACAAATAAATTACCACGCGTCCCAGTTTTTGTTACATGACCTACCTTTTTTTGAATTTGTCAGGTTTACACTTCATTCATCAATCAAAAATTTTGGCCATAATTTTCTCTCTTGCTAAATTTGTTGCTTCATCCCAAAATTGTTTTCTCTCATTTAATAGATGTTACTTATTTCTTTAATTCATGTTTGTCTCGATCTTCTAATTTATTTTTCCGCCTGTAATCTCGCTTCGCTAGCGCTTTAAAGTTTCACTTGTATTCATTCGTTTATACAATGTGCGTGCCAAACTAAATAGGACTTTTAAAAAATAAGAACAACAAGTTTTTTGGCAAATCCGATTTATTTTATTAAAAATAGTTCCTTTTCCGACTCAATACAGCAATTTGCACATTCTAAAAGTATGTCGAATGAGTGTTTTAGATCGACGGCCGGGATATCCATCAAGATGTCGGTACAAACCTTTTAGATGACTTCTACATCCACAAAACTCCCCTCTTTCATCGGCAAATGCTTTTTTCCGAAAAGGTAAAAGTCGCACGGTGCCAAATCAGGTGAATACGGGGAGTAATTGACAGTTAAAATGTGATTTTTAGTCAACAGATCGGTCACAAATGTGGATCGATTAGATGACGCATTATTGTGCAACAAACGCCAACTTCCTTCTGAGCGGCATTCTCGCCGAATACGATGAATACCACCAAACGCTTCAAAATGCCGATTGTGCATCAACGGTTTGGCCTGGTGGAACGAAGTCTTTGTGGACAATGCCCTCGGAATCATCGAAGTAAATCAACATTGTCTTCACTTTTGATTTCTCCGAACGAGATTTTTTGGGTTTTGGCTCGTCTGGTGCCTTCCACTCGGCACTTTGGCTCTTGGTTTCTGGATCATACGTTTTATCACCAGTCACAATGTTGTAAAGGGAATCTTTATCCTTTTTAACCTTCTTGATGATGTCCTTTGAACGTTGAATTCTGGGCAATTTTTGGTCATCAGTCAACTTGTACGGAACAAACCTGGCACACATATTTCGGCCAAAATGTGATAAATTGATGTTTTTGAGATGCTCAATTCCATGAATTTCAATGAAGATTTTAGCTTTGATGAATTCACGCACAGTTTTGATCGAATCTACAGTGATCACGGATTTCGGTTGGCCAACATGTTATTCATCATTTATGGCCATTTTTAAACCGCGTGTATCACTCATGGACTCTGTCACGGGATAAAATTACCATAAACTTGGTTCGTCAATTGAAACGTTTTACCAAGTTTAAAACAAAGCTTCTTTTTGTTCGATGCTCATTTTTGTACCGATGACACAAACATACTGTCACTTCAAACGCAATAACTCCACTTCTATACGTCCAAATGTAATGAAATTTTGACAGTACATCAGTGAACGATTTACCTTTCCGACGCATTGTCAATAGATGACGTCCACTAAAAAGACCTATTTTTGAAAAGTCCTGTTTACTTTGGAACGCACTTTGTATATATGTCCTTACCAACTAAGTTGTCGCTGCTCATTAAACTGTAAAAATCTTATTTACTTGTTTCTAATTCTGTATTTTCAGGTCATTCCCTGATATCCTTCTCAGATATGTCATATCAGTTGCTTGTATTTGGTTTCTTTGTTTGTTCAAGAGAGCCCAAAATTTACGTACGTATATCAAGATTGATTGATTGATACCGAATTAAAATCTTTTTGTTTGTTTGTTTAGAATTTTTTTATTGATAAACCTTTGGGTCATAGTATAACACATTTTTATTGCTTGTTAACTTTTCTTTATTTCAGCTTCTTGCTTTCCAAATTTTTCTATTGTTACTCCTAGGTATTTAAGTTCTGGTACTTCATCTATTTTGGTGTTAGTGTTAAGACTTGTGTTCTCTCATTATGATCAGTATTTTAGTTTTCGGCGCGTTTATTCATTCATATCATCTTCTTCCACTGTTTCTTTCAATATGTTTTAAATTTCCTTATAATTCTTCACTTTTCGCTATTATTACCGCATCATCAGAAAAGACTCCTTCCACTATCTCGACTCTCTCCAGGTTTTTATATTCGACAAATATTTTGGCGACATTTCTCTCACATTTTTTATGATATTATCCACAAGTACATCGTATAGTATTATTGGGCTTAATCTTGTTCCTGGTCTTAACCCCATATCACTTTTGTATTACACGTATTGTTTCTTATTACGTAGTTTGTGTTGGTTTTAAATAGATCTTGAACAACTTTTATTAATTTACTATGTACTCTTCTTTCTTCCATACTTTTGTTCTAGGAACTGTATTTACTTCTATTTTCTACTATTTGTTTAATTATACAGACATATATGATTATGGGCTTCTTCCGGGTCTAAATCCAGTTTTTAACTATGATAGTCTTGGTTCTAATATTGGTTTTAGTCTATTATTGACAATGTGTTCATATATCTTTACAACAGTATTCAGTAAAGTTATTCCTCTATGATTACTATGTTCTTTATTAACCCCTTTTTGTATATAGTTATTATTAATGCTACTCTGCATTTATCCGGTATATTCTTGCTGTGCCAAACTTTATTTAGTATTTCTAATACTACATCCGAACTTCCGAACCTACCTTCCACAAGATTTTTATCATTTCTGGAAATCTTTCTGAAATATTCTTCCTACTTATAATTTTATTTGTAATCTTATTGTGTAATATATGTACATCCTACTCTTGCTGTCGCTCTTTAATCAATTAAGCTATACAGGGTGTTTCAGAAAGACCTTCAGTATCAAGGGGTGATAGTACGACAAAATATAAGAATTTTTTTGTCTTATGCACTATATGTCTATCTCCTCTTGTTTTCGAGATACAGAGCGACAAAATAAAATTTTTAAAATAGAATTTTTACGAAAATTTCCAAACGGTGGTAAATATTTTTATGAAATTTAGTATTCCGGGGTTTTTATGGACGCCAAATACGCTGGTCTAATTATTTTTTGGATATTTCATAAAGGGTGCTAGTTACGCTACATTCCTATTACATTTTAGGTTCTAATTTTTTTAAGGTTAGGTTTTTTACCATTCGGGCTCCAGTTTCTAATGAACAGTTTTATTTTCTAAAAATAATGCACTCTTGTTAGAACATCCTTTTCGAGAAAAAAGACTTTAAATTGAACTCTTACAATATTACGGTGAACATAATAAGTGACTTTTCTCAAAGTAGGCTTATGTCAAAGCTTATTGATGGATGTCTCATAAACAACGCATACATTCTCAGTAATATTTTAAACTCTAATTCACTTTATATAAAAAATTTTCGGTATGAATCCGGACATCTGGTCTCTCTAGATTCAAGTGATTAGCGATTGAAGGTTGTTGACTTTCCGTCACAGCATCTGGCTGTTATCTTAGAATCATGTAAGGCAAGTTGATTTCGAATCCCAGCTCGAATTTCCTGGTATTCCTAGCGTTTTCGACAAAAAATTCGAACGGAGGTGACATTTTGGGTATCTTTGGGTATTTTCTGATGTCGTTTACTGCGACTTGAGATGTTTAGAGTAGTTTGCGTTGTGGGACAGTTTCGACGGTTGAATTCGAAACATGTATGATATTTTCAATTTCGATTTTTGATCAAAGTCAGAGTTTATGTGGATGGTGGGTTAGCTGCCCTCGATAATCGTAACTACTTTTGGCTGGGGTTTTCGCGGGTAGAGACTATAAAAACAGCTCGTAGGTAGGTCAGATTCGAAAGTTGAATGAAATCCGCTTGCGACTTGGAATATAAAAACTCATTCTAATTCTGTTGTGGCATATGTAGTAAACAACTGTGATTACTTTTTGTTTCTGAGAAATCATTTTGCAAAAAAATACTAGTACATATTGCTTTGTTTTGCACAACGTTTTATTTCAATAATTTTTAATTTGTTCCCATAAGTGGCAACATACTGCAATAAATAGAGAACAAACTAACTCTGTGTCAAAATTAAGTAACAACAGACAATACTGTACTATTTTAGTCGCTTCCTACATGTTCAAGCTTAACATAAATTTTCATAATTCACACAGTTTTTCATTGTGACAGCCCTAAATCTTCCTGTACAACTTTATGTAAATATTCTTTGTGCAGAAAATTTTAAAAACTAATCACGTTTTGGTTGATACAAAAAAATAAATGAAATAATATAACAGTACAGCAATAAAAAATGAGACAAATGAAACGGCTGTGTTTGAAAAGCATTACTGCAAATCCTTAAATAAACTACTTTCTACAAATATTATATCCACCTAACTATTTTTGTCGAAAACGGATTTTTCCTGAATAATGTTGAACAATGAACTATTGTCTAAATATTTATTAAGTAAATAATAACGTACAGTTTTGGTCCTTATATATAGACAACAATAAATAAAATATTAGTATGTATTTAGCTGAATACAAGTGTTCAACAAAATAAGAATGATTAACTTGCAGCCTAGTTACACACTTCTCACTGTATTTGCAGGTAAATTTTAAAATAAAATAGTTTTTGAACCGGGGTGGCTTTGAATGATTCTGTAATGTATTCTCAATATTCTTATTTTATTTTTATTCATAGTTAAGTTAGTTAGTAACATGTATTAAGTATACAGGGTGTCCCAACAGTATGGAAACAGCACAATAACTTTCGAAAAATGCATTTTGAGGAAAAATGATTCATTAGGATTTTTCCCTGACTATTCAATGGTGACCCGAGATTAGACCTTGACCTTGACCTTCAAGGTTATTTCAAGGTCTAGTTAATTTTTTCAAATGGGTTGCCCTACTTTTGACCCCGGAAATGAAAAGAGCGGAAAATTTTACGTTCAGATATGTGCCTGACCATTTTCCGAATTTGACCTCTGATGGTCATTAAAGGTCAAATCAAGGTCACGCATAGTTTGGCGCGCTGTCTTGAAAACAACAGGTTGCAAAAAAAATGACCATAACTAACGTTGTAGGATTTTTCCCTGGCTATCTGACGGTGACCCTTGATTTGACCGTGACCTTCACCTTCAAAAACCGTACTATATCAATTTTGGCAAAAATCGGTTGATTTTTGAAATCGCGTCCGCCATCTTGGACTAAAATTCCTCAAAAACAAATTTCAGATTCGTAGTCAGCGATCCCAAAAACCCCCCTATACCAAATTTGGCGTAAATCGGTTAATTTTTTGGATCCGCCATCTTGGAAAATGGTCAAGGACATATCTGAACGTAAAATTTTCCGTTCTTTTCATTTCCGGGGTCAAAAGTAGGGCATTCCATCTGAAAAAATTTACTTGACCTTGAAATAACCCTGAAGGTCAAGGTCAAGGTTAAATCTAGGGTAACCATTGAATAGCCAGGGAAAAATCCTAAATCTTTTGTCTGAATCATTTTTTCTCAAAATGCATTTTTCGAAAGTTATTGTGTTGTTTCCATACTTTTGGGACACGTTGTATAATTTATAAACAAAATACTTTAAATACAGAATTCTTCACAGTATCAAGTTACATGCACAAGAATGACTGTATACCATGATTTTTTTCGCAAATCAACTTTAATAGTACCTGTATAGTGTAGTATACAAATATTAGTTTTTCGTTGCTCTAGAGCAGGGGTCGGCAAGTAATTTTAGGTGGGGTCCGGGTACTTTTAAAAATTTTTAACAAGGTCCAGAAAAAAAAATCGTATTTCTTACAAATTTTCAATTGAACTCAAATTTAATCTGCTTACTAACCATTAAGAACTCAAAACACCCACACAATTGTAAAATACTAGAAAAAATGATAAGGTTGGCACTTAAACGTAAAAAACATTTTTTAAATAATTTATTTGAGTAATTTATACTTTCAAAAAATTTTTGGCGGTCCAGTATTTTACCTTCCGCGGTCCGGACCTGGACCGCGGTCCGCCAGTTCCCGACCCTTGCTCTAGAGCCTAAAGCTTACAGCGTACAGGATGTTTCAATTCGGGTGGATCAAACTTTAACCACAAATAGAACTCAACAAATAATTCAGAATTGCCTTATAAAGCAAAGACCTAAGTCTCACCATTTGCACTGTACAGGGCCGTATTGGTTGGTTTTTAAAATCATATTATTTATGAAATCCGTGATATGCTTATAACAAATTGATTCAAATTTTCATATGTACATGATTTACTGTAAAATTTACAAATTTTAATAATTTCAAGTGATTATTCTTGAAACCCTTGAATCATTAAATTTCGAGATAAAATGTTGAGGTTTAAAAATATGTTAATGATTTATGTTACTTAGAAGCAAAAATTTACTGAAATATTATACAAATATGTCAACCAGTAGCGGAGATACTGGGATACACCATCACTAACAACCCTATAATTTCGACGAAACTGATTATTGTAGAAATTTGAGTACATTTGATTTCAAACGTTATTTGAAATTAAAGTGATATTGTTCATTTATTCGAAAAAACAGACATTTTTTAATTATTATACACTAATGCAAACAATTAAAGGGTAAAAAGAATTTCCGAAATTTTTTCGTGATTTTTGACAGACTGTATTTAAGTGAAAAATGGTCGTATCGAGAATTAAAAACAAGCATTTTGAAGCACTAAGATTCTAGTTTTTAGATCTTTCGGTCGAAAATTTTTAGGAGCTAGGGTTATCATGCAATTCTAAGAAATAGCACGACAAAAAAAATTTGCAAATTTTTTTATTTTTTTTTCCGAGTTCACGGACATGGAAAATAAATTTTTTTCAGCTAAGCCATTGCATGGACCAGATAACTTGTTTATTCGGCTTTAATTTCCTTTTTTTTAAATTTCGATACGACCATTATTCATCGAAATATTGGACTTTTAATGGAAAAGGATCCTTTTGTCTTGAATCATCGATATCTCGGCGACAAATGGTCGTACAGAGAATTGAAGAGCAGTTTCGAAAACTGTGATAAATGTCTTATAACATGCTGCCGCAACTTTTCGGAATTTTTTTTTTTTTTTCGTCTTTTACACGAATTTAATAAAACAGGAAAAGAGGGTAATTTATGTTTTTTAGAAAATTGACGGCTAAATTAGAAATAATCACGAAATGACTATTGTTAAGCATGACTTTTACAGTTCGATATACCCAGAAGAGCCCTGTGAAATTTCATCTCGATCTAACGAACCGTCTCTTAGTTTCAAACAGTCAAACTTTTGTAAAAAATTAAAGGGTCACTATTTTTGAGTTTAAACACTTCATAATCATGAAAATGGAAACAAAACATTTTTTTGAGGTTCTCACATTTTTACCACAAACATTGATGAAAAAAAAATTTTTTTTCGAAAAATTTTCGAATTTGTTTTTCAGTGGAAAAAGGGTAGTTTTGAAAAAAACTGTTAGTGATTACAGACTGCACAAAAATTAATTACAAAGTCTGAAAAAACGATATGAATCGGGATCGAAATCTGGTTTGGGTCATCACCTTTAATTTTAATTTAATTAAAAGCTGATGAAGCATAGGACAGAAAAGAATCGTGCCGGAAACAATTGAATTTTGTTTTCTTCAAAATATTTGTTTTTAAATTTTTCGAAAAATAATTTTTTTAAGTTATTTAAAAGTTAATTGCGGTAAAAATATGAGAAAACCTCAAAAAAAAATTGTTTCCATTTTAATCATGATTATGAACTGTTTAAGCTCAAAAACCGTGACCCTTTAATTTTTTTCAAAAGTTTGTTTGAAACAACGAAACGGTTCGCTAGATCGAGATGAAACTTCACAGGGTTCTTCTGGGTATATCGAACTGTAAAAGTCGTGTTTAACATTAGTCATTTCGTGAATATTTCTAATTTAGCCGTCAATTTTCTAAAAAAAACAAAAATTACCCTTTTTTTCCTGTTTTTTAAATTCGTGTAAAAGACGAAAAAAAAAATCCGAAAAGTTGCGGCAGCATGTTATAGGACATTTATTACAGTTTTCGAAACTGCTCTTCAATTCGCTGTACGACCATTTGTCGCCGAAATATCGATGATTGAAGACAAAAGGATCCCTTTCCATTAAAAGTCCGATATTTCGATGAATAACGGTCGTATCGAAATTTAAAAAAAAGGAAATTAAAGCTGATTAAACAAGCTATCTGGTCCATGCAATGACTTAGCTGAAAAAAATTTTTCCAAGTCCGTGAACTCGGAAAAAAAATAAAAAAATTTGACAAATTTTTTTGGCGCTCTATTTCTTAGAATTGCCTGATAACCGTAGCTCCTAAAAATTTTCGACCGAAAGATCTAAAAACTAGAATCTTAGAGCTTCAAAATGCTCTTTTTTAATTCTCGATGCGACCACTTTTTAACTTAAATACAGTCTGTCAAAAATCACGGAAAAATTTCGGAAATTCTTTTGACCCTTTACTTGTTTGGTTTAGTGTATTTTTTAAATTACAATAAGCTCACACTAAGGTATGCAGATGAAATGTAAATTTTTTAATGAAATTAATGAACAGCTTTAAAGATTTAAATAATAAAGGATGGAAGTATTTCTACTGCGCACTGAGTGCAAGTAAGACAGAAATGCTGTTATATTTTCCTTTCCCTAAAGCAGTTTGGTTTATTATTTAAAAAACATTCACATATTATAATAATCAGAAGTTAGAAAATTGCAATATAAAAATGGAACTCTTCATGATTCACCATTACTTTGATAACCATGTTAATTGTAATACCTCAAACGGATATGCGCAAACTAAAAAATGTGATGTATCATCGTGGATCAATAAAAACAATAATCGTTATCTTGTCAAACTGAATTACGTACTTTCTAAATCACCTAGTCGTCCTCTTACGAGTATATTTGAAAAGATAAGAAAGCTTGATTCAAAGGAAAACCAATCTTTTGAAGGACCATGTTAGACATATCTTTTTAATATCTTTTTTGATATCTTTTCGAATTTATGACGCATGTATTTAAATAGGTACATGCGATTTGTTACAATAAGACTAAATTAAAAAGTAAGTTTAGTATTAATGTGCGCCTTTAATAATTTAGTACAATTTTCTTTTAGTGGATCTTTTGGCAACCTCCGGAGACATAACCTTGTCTTGGACGTCACCAATATACCCAAAATTGTATTCAAACGATACATCTATAAATCCCCTTGGAAAACCTATTACCGAAGACGAAGACGCTATGATAGGATCCGTGCTAACTCTTGGGGCTATGATAGGTCCCCTGCCTTTCGGTTTCATCGCGGAAAAGTTTGGAAGGAAACCAGCCCTCTTGTCCATCGCCGTCCCACATATAATTTCGTACCTTACCATGGCATTCTCAAAAAACGTTTACTTGTATTACTTGGGAAGAGCTCTAGGTGGATTAGCGATGGGAGGCGGCTACTCAGTGTTGCCAATGTACCTTGCTGAGATATCAAAGGATTCTAATCGTGGAGCAATGACACAAACCTTAAATGTCTTTTGGGCTACTGGAAATTTCCTGCCATATGCCATAGGTCCGTACATTTCTATTTTGTATTTCAACATAATTCTGGCTTGTATTCCCATAACGTTTTTCTTGGTGTTCTTCTTCGTTGGCGTGGAAACACCTTATTATTTAGTCAGAGTAAATAAAATTACGGAAGCTGAAGAAGCCCTTATGCTTCTTAGATCGTCTGATCAAAAAGAGGTACAAAATGAACTTGAACATATTCAAACGTGTATAAATGAGGAAGAAAAAGGAAATTTCATCGATATATTCAGGAAAACAGAACTAAGAAAAGCCCTTATAATTTGCATTGTTTTAATAATTGCACAGGAAATTTCCGGATTCTGTGCAATAACATTTTATTTGCAACCCATATTTGATGCTGCAGGTACAGGCCTGCCTTCCGATATTTCAGCAATCGTAATTGGATTCTCTATGTTGGTTAGCAGTTTCTTTGCTCCTTTCCTCATAGAAAGGGCGGGCAGAAAAAAACTGACTATATACTCGTGCTTTGGAATGTTTTTGTCCCTAACTATACTGGGAGCTTTTTTCTATATCCAAGACTCATCCAACCTAAGCACAGATTCAATATTTTGGTTACCTATTTTCAGCCTAATGTTATACATCTTCTCATTCAATTTCGGAATAGGATCTGTACCTTGGACATTGTGTTCGGAATTGTTCCCAAGCAGCTTCAAACAGTTCTCTTCTACCACGGTGTCTATAGTTTGTTGGATAACTTCGTTCATGGTAACGAAATTTTTCAACAGTATGAACTATGGAATGGGAATTGCCGGCACCTTTTGGTTCTTCGGGGGAACTTGCCTTCTTGCAACAATTTTCAGTATATTGTGGGTACCAGAAACCAAAGGAAAAAGTTTCATTGAAATACAAAACATGTTGAGAGGAAAAGGGTCTGAGGTTAGTGCACTGGATCTACAAGATACATAAATTAGGCATATACTTGAGTTGAGTTCAGAAATCCGAAAAATTGAAGTTATTTTTCGACATTGATGATATGAAGATAATAAAGGATGGTATAAATTTCATATGCCTTTAGGAATGTGATTACGGAGCAGTAAAAACGGATTTCTTACAATAACAGCATTTTTGCTACCAATTTACTCAGGTGTTTTCTATTTCAGTTGTATCTAGATGAAGTTTAACAGAATAAAAAGCAGTTCTGAACACTCAAGGAAGAATTCATGGGAACTCACTAAGTTAAATATTAATAATTATTATTTATATAAGATAAATGTTTTGATAAATAAATCATCTACAATTGTTTCATATCTTTTTATTTAACCACTTTAACATTGACGTCTGAGAAAAATTCAATGCTTCAAAAATTATAAATAAATATTGCAAATTGTGCTGCAAAACTGAAAAGTATATTTTAATTTTTTTTTTGTTGGAGTTGAAATATTTCGTAGAAACTAAAAAAGAGGAGCCATGTCACTATTTAAAGGAATTTAAGTTAGAAAATTAATTTTTTATAAACATTTTTATGGAAAAAACGCATTTTTTAAAGTTTTTTTGCTTATGAAACCTAAACTAACGAAACTAACGAAGGAATCTGATTGCTGTAAAGAGACAATTTGTAGAGAATCGAAATACGAATAAAACAATAGGTCGATCCGATCGGATAATTAGAAACGAAGAGAACCCGGAAAAATCGGAAAATTTAGCGTTTCTTTAAAAATTCATTACTCCGCCAATTTTTAAGTTGTAGAGCTGACCCTGTGCAATATTGTTAGTTATAGTATAGTTTAATATTATTGTAAGTGGCGATATATACAAAATGTAATAAATTTCCTTAACAAGGACTCCAAAATATGTATTCTTTGGAACAGAAAAGTACATTTTGTAAGAAAACTTTCAAATTTACGTTTGATGTCAAGATTTCGCGTAAATGTCAAAAAATGTAGGAGCAAAACAAGGAATGTCCTCAGGTTCCACATCATTGTGATTCCGTTTATTGGTATTATTTATTATGTATTACCACTTACAATAATATTATACAATAACTAACAATATTCAAAATTGTATACCTATACAGGGTGTCCGGTAAGTACCTCCTAATCTCTCGGGAGTGTATAGGGGAGGTCAAAATAAAACCAGTCCTTTCTATAATTTTTTTTCCTAATGTGCCCCCTAACGGAGTTATGGGGGGTCAAAGGGGTACCTAGAAATTAACGTTTAGGGTTATAACTTTGAAACCACCCTGTATAATTTAATAAAATTTTCGTACGTTGTATTACACATGGAGCTCTACGATTTGATGCTAAAATCAACTTTTTGCTATTATCAGGTGTCCAGAAACGGACTGGCCCTATCACAATTTTTCTCAAAATTTTGACAGAAGTAATTTTATCAAACTGAAAATATTATTATTAGATACTCTGAAGGTTTTTCTTTAAAAATGGTACTCTTTATTTATTTCGAAAAAATGAACGGTTTGCGAGATAAATCGGTTTTGAAAAAAATTGGTAACAAATACAACAATTAAAATTTATTTTTTTTACATATTATTTCATGCATTTAATTTCTTTAACTTTATCAAGTCCAGAAATCTTTGAACGGGTTGGCTATACTTTATGAGCAAGTAGTGACCAATTAAAAATAACATTTGAAAAATAACTTACTTACAAGACATGCAACAAAGAACATTCAACAATGAACAAAGGTACCTAAATGTTACTTCGGTAGATGTTCAAAATGAGCACCCCGTACTTCAATGCACTTTCTAATCCTACGAATGTTTTCCCGGTGCACTTGAAATAATATTCCGTGATTATTGCGGAGATGGTCACAGTTCTGTGTTAGCCTCAGCAGAAGTTCCTCTCTACTATTTACGGGTGTTGAATAAACGTTATTTTTTAAATGACCCCACAGAAAAAAGTCTAATGGGTTTAGGTCGGGCGACCTAGGTGGCCATAATACAGGTCCGCCTCGACCTATCCATCGATCACCAAAAACATTCGTCAGATGTTGACGTACTAAACGATCAAAGTGGGGTGGTGCACCGTCATGCATGTACCACATTTCAGTTCTTATTTGAAGGGGCACTTCTTCTAACAAAATATTTAGATTTTCCTCTAAAAATTGCAAATAAAGAGCACCATTAAGTCTTTGCTCCAGAATAAATGGACCAATCAAATGATTCCCGATAATGCCAGCCCACACATTCACCATAAACCTTTGTTGGTAGCGAGTTTGAACTAAAGCGTGAGGGTTTTCTTCATCCCAGACATGTAGATTATGCGAATTAATTATGCCGTCTCTTGTAAAACCTGCTTCATCGGTGAACAAAATAGATGTACCAAAATTATGATTCCGAATATGATGCTGTAAAAACCAATTGGCGTATTGAAGTCTTTTTGGATAATCATCTGGAGACATAGCATGTACTTTTTGGATGTGGTACGGGTAAAGCAATTGTTCTTTCAGAGTTTCATGTACAGCCCATTTTGTAACATTGTTTTGCGCCGCAAGCTTCCTTATGCTATTTGAAGGATTATTAGCAACGTCTTCCAATATTTGTTCCTCTACATGAGGGTCTCGTACTCTCCTCGGGGCTCCTGCTCCACCACGGCGTGGCAAAAAGCTTCCTAAATAAAGGATTCGGAAGAAATTAGTTTCACTAACGTTTTTCACTATTTTTTTTTACCTGTTTCTCTTAAACTACGATCAACTCTTTCAAAAGTTTTTGGACTCGGCAAATGTCGACCCGGAAACCTTTCCTCATAAAGTCTTCTTGCCTCCACGGAGTTGCATAATGCTTCCCCATAAATTAGGTGCATATCAGCATATTCTGCACAGGAATATTCTTCCATTTTTAAATGTTATTTCTAACGGCTTAAAACGAATACCACAATAAAATTGAATTTTTATTCTGTCACGCGCCTTTGACAAGTACTTTAAAATCAACAGGGTCTAACAACGAAAACAATAGAAAAGAACTCCATGGAGACAAGAGCAATAATAATTTGTAGATGTATTTTGGTCATAGATGTTGATTTTACAAGAAACGGCATTATTCATTCCCTTAATTCACCACCAGTAAATGTTTATGGTGAATCTGTAGGCTGGCACTAGCGGGAATGATTTTATTGTAAAAAAATAAATTTTAATTGTTGTTGTATTTGTTACCAATTTTTTTCAAAACCGATTTATCTCGCAAACCGTTCATTTTTTCGAAATAAATAAAGAGTACCATTTTTAAAGAAAAACCTTCAGAGTATCTAATAATAATATTTTCAGTTTGATAAAATTACTTCTGTCAAAATTTTGAGAAAAATTGTGATAGGGCCAGTCCGTTTCTGGACACCTGATAATAGCAAAAAGTTGATTTTAGCATCAAATCGTAGAGCTCCATGTGTAATACAACGTACGAAAATTTTATTAAAATATACAGGGTGGTTTCAAAGTTATAACCCTAAACGTTAATTTCTAGGTACCCCTTTGACCCCCCATAACTCCATTAGGGGGCACATTAGGAAAAAAAAATATAGGAAGGACTAGTTTTATTTTGACCTCCCCTATACACTCCCGAGAGATTAGGAGGTACTTACCGGACACTCTGTATATCCATTGCCCCTCATCTCTCGACCTTCCCTCACTACTCGGCCGCGTATGCGCGCTCGGCCGTTTTTGAGCATGTTTGGAGAAATTTTTAACTTATTTTCATCATTTTTATCGGAAAATTAGAATATACGTTTTGTAGTATTACACTTCTACTTTTAAAATCCGGCTGAAAAATTAAAATCAGATCACCTTCAGCTAATCCTGAAACTATTCAAAATAGTGCACCAAAAAACCAAAAGACTAATGGTCCGTCAGCGCCTGCTTTGTGCACACTTAAAGTACATAGAATTCAGTACATTTGTGCACAAGGTCTGCTCTACAACTTAAAAAATGGCGAAGTAATAAATTTTAAAAAAAAAACGCTAAATTATCCGATTTTTCCTGGTTTTCTTCGTGTCTAAGTATCCGATCAGATCGATGGACCTCTCGTTTTATTTGCATTTCGATTCTCTACAAATTGTCTCTGTATAACATTCAGATTGCTTCGTTAGTTTAGGTTTTATAAGCAAAAAACTAAAAAAAATGCGTCTTTTGCATAAAAATTTTTATAAAAAATAAAATTAATTATTGGTTAATCGGAATAGGAAACATAAGCATATATCTACAGACTCTCTTTTTACTAGTATTTTTGTAACAAAATCACTGATTTAATGCTCTATTGATTTGCCTAATAATCGAATAATATAAAGCTCGCTACAGACATGTTTTCAAAATGGTGACTTGAAATTCTAAAGCTATATTCTAGTTAAATTCAAATACTGCGTTGGGTTCAGTGCGTTTGTACGATGTGAATTATAAAACATGAAGTATCCACAGTAAGTGCGATCGTTCTATTGAGGCTGAGGCAAATATTGTAACACTACAACTCAATTTTATTAATGAAACAATCTCGGTTAAACCTAGCCGCACGACAAGTCAAAAAATTTAGGAAAACGATCAGAAAAAGCAAGAAGTATATTAGGGACTTTTCGTTACCACTTTTCTGGATTCAATATTAATTAATAATTGTGGAATACAGATGTTGCGATTATTTCTAGATGGGAAAGGACCTTTTACTTATATTTCGAGAATTCTATACTGGATTTTCAAAATATGCCACTACGCTCAAAATCTTATTTGTCATAAAATGTCTGACAAATACAAGGGTAGTCCAGGAAGTAAAGAACGATTTGGCATAACTAAATAAAAATGAAAGATATTAACACAAAACTTTATTTACAAAGTTACAGAACGTTACACTATTTTTCAATGTAAGCGCTATTACTGTCAAGGCACTTATTGTAATGTGATACCTGTTTTTCGATGCCGATGTTATACTCTTCTACCACCATAGATCTGAGCCAGGATGTCAGTCCTTCTTTGAGATCTCCATCGTCTGCGAACTGTTTTCCGTCCAAAAATTCCTTTAGTTTCAAATACAAATGAAAATCGCTTGGTGCCAAGTCAGGAGTGTTAAGAAGATGTCCATACTGTGTTTGTGGGATGCATGAGGTCGAAGTTTGTGGTCAATCAAAAACACCTATTCAAACAACATTCCACGTCTCTTGTTTTGGATAGCGCGGGAGTCGTTGAAGAGTTTCATAATATGCCGTTGAGTTTATTGTTTCTCCTCTTGGCATAAATTTCACGTGGATTAAAAACTTTCGGTCCCAAAAATCTGTTGCCATCACTTTTATTGTGTTGAGGTTTGGTGGTGCCA